TGTAGTGGTGAAGTGCGCTGCTCCCCGGTAAGGACAACAGCGCGTGTTCGTTCCCCACTGCATACACCTGTGGTCTGGAGTTTTGCAGATATCTCAGCATTTCATACGAGAAATCGATACTGTCGAAAATGTCAGCTACTGTTGTGCTGTGTGTGTTTTTTGTACAGAAGTAAAGATATACTGTATAACAATCTCGTGGTTGTTGAAAAATCAAACAGCACGTTTGCGCACGTAGTGTCGACACTTCTGGCCACTGAGCTTCATGTGCCTCTACTAGAACACATAAAGGTTAGTTCTCCTAGAGCTACGAAACTGTGTGCACAAGAAATGAAAGGCTTGATAATTTACCGATATGAGTGAAATTTGGACGACTTTAGAGGAAGTTGTTTCTGATCGAAGACCTTTCATTCGTTTCACTTTTTTTAAAAGTTTCTGACACTCCACCTTCATGTTTCTTCCTAGAGGCATAAAACTCCGTAAGAAGCTTTTTTCAGCGAGTGCAAGTCTCTCAAACAAATGAAATGAACAAAAGTGTGTAGTCGATCAGCTAACTGTTTCATTAAAAATCGATCTTTTCGCGCTTCTTGTGCTTATCAGTGAAGTAAACAAGGTGGTATAAATGTCTTTAATTCTCAAGGAAAGTCATTATTCATGTGAATTGTCCCATGAAAAGTGGGTGGGATGACATTGTGACGACAAAGATGAATGGATGATTGGCGAGGAACGCTTTAAGTTCAGATTTAAGGCTTTTGTATGACACCTTGCTGTTAGTCGCAGCTGCTGCTGTGGTTGATTCCTCGTCCATCTGCAAACTTCACATTTAAAACAAAAAAAAAATGAATAAATCACAAAACAAACTTTCAATTTTTCCATAAAATTTTTAACATTTTTTGAAACGTTGACGTTTCCCATCAAAATTCCTTAAGATACCAATAAGCCCGATTGTAACTGACAAAAGCACATTTGGTCTTGATAATCGCTCGAAAGACTGTTTTATGCGATTCTGACTGCTTCTGGTTTTTCTTCTTCCAGGATCTTTTTCAACGTCGTCACGCAACTCACCTCAATGATTGCTCTGTGATTAGCATCCGAAATGTATAGATGAGGCGGCCTCACGGTACCGGTAAGATCGGCATTTTTGGTAAAAATTTCTGTGACATTCATTGAGATCAGCGCTGGCTTTAACATGAAATTCGACTCAATCTTCAGTTTAGGAATGGCTACCTGAATGTCATTCGTATTCCGCGTTAATTATACTCAAATAGTTGTTTATTACAATGCTTTTTTTATTTACTGCCTACTGTAATTTTCACGGCAGGATATTATGTGAAATCAACCACAACGATGCTGAGATATTCGCAAAACCTGGACCCCGGACCAGATCGAATCACGATTTTCCTTTCCGGTAGTTCACGCATTACACACTGCGCTACGGAAGCCCTTGCTGTGGCTTTCTGTCGACTAGTTCTCTTTTATTTATTTCTTTCTTTCAGTTAGCTAGGAAACGAAAGTCGCAGTTCGATCTGGCCCGGGCTCTAAGTTTTGCGAATATTTCAACATCGTTGTACTTGTTTATTCTTTAATTTGAACATAAGGTCCGTTATGCATAAACGAAACCCTTAACATCAGCTTTCTCTTTCGGCTGTTTATGTTTTATTTATAAGGTTCTCATATCCGTTTGGATTTTATACTGACTAGTGATTTCTGCTCAGAAGTTAGAGGGCAAGTGAAAACGAAGCCATAACGAGCTTCACGACGTTGGATGACCTTCGATGAACCGCACAACGAAATGCAAAACGAACCGATACATTGGCCAGCTTCAATTCAGCAAGGATCTTCAGAATTTTTTCCCCGCTCAGTTTGTTACGGAGCGCATCAAGGCCGAATCTGTAGCAAACCAGAGTTTAGAACAACCTCAAAGGGCGTAGGACGCACATTCTATAGACCTTTTCTTGGGTAATAAAATGCTGAACGCATAGTTGGCGTCCTTATATTGCAGTGACAAAACCTTCATGTCCTCGTTTTCAGCATAGAGTCTTTGTGCTTCTCTAATTCTCATATAAACTACCTAGAATTGTTACATTAATATCTGTAAGCAACATCTAGCATGCTAATGTGTCCAACTTATTATTTGTGACAACTCTCAAGGAAATTGTGGTCTTTTATCACCAAAATGATGGCCGTCCCAAAAAAATTGTTGTTAACAAAAATGACTTTATCTTTTAAATTTTGTACCACTACTTTAGTCTTCCTTTCGTAGTGCTCTATAAATAGACTTAATCAGCTGTTCCCTCACCAGACGAAAAAAAGTTCCAAAAATTGATCGGATTCTATGAGCACCTATTATATTGTTAACGTTAAAAATAAGACGTGGAGGTAATGTCTTCCTTTCTACATAGTCCTTTACATCCGATTACACACCATTTTGATTTGCTTATCCTTAAATAATCTTGGATACTCGGACGGCCCATAATTACTGGTTATGCGGACCCAGCAAAATTTCTACTATTTTAGTGTTTTGCTGGTCTAGCCATCGTGGTTCCCTGGAAGCCCGAAGTCAGCCAGTTTAAGGTCTGCCCCAGATCATCACTATCGCAGGCAGCCGCAGCCCCTGTGGATCAATGGGAGACTTGCCACCATATGCACAGTTTGATACCAAGACGGTGGTGAATCTCGGTATTGCTTTACTCTTAGCTGGGCTTCCTGATGGAAACGCTGAACTCTTTCTCAGCCTGGGAGACCCTGCCGGAGGGAAGAATCCCCCGATGTACATCGCAGTCCGACACCCAGGAACACCTCCTAGCCACAATGAGTAAAACCAGTAAACCGTTGGGAGGCTTTAAATAATCAACTTCCTAAATATCAATTTTATGTATGGTACGTTTGTTTTAAGCAAAAGAAACGTATTGCACCTCTCTCGAAGCCGCTTTAGAACTGTAAAATTTTGCCTTTCTGCTCTCCTTCTTCGAGAACTTATGTTCCCATTCGGCACAAAAGTAGATAGCGTTGACAATGAGCGAGTGAGCTCCTGCAATTTAGCTACTTTTCGTTCCATTTCTATTTTTGCATATCAAATTGGAAGAAGATATATCAGTATATTGAGCAGTATTTTTAGCGGACGGGTAGCACAGTGATAGTCGGTCACAAGGATGGTGCTAGTTCGACACCACCCCTAACTCAAGAGGGTTCTTATCCCACCAGCGCAGGGAATTTAGTACCAGAGTTGTCTGTGGGCAGTTCACTCTCTGCTATCTGAGTGGCATCGCTTTACTGCAGCTATCCCAAGACTCCAAGAAGAATCAACTTGTACAGCATTCAGCATCGTTCATAGAAAGGACGACAATGCTTAACCAACAGTCGAATCCACTCGCAAAATGTTCGAAGACCATGAATGATGGATAACAGAAGAAAACGAGGCGAATGTAGGTAAAAACGGTTAGTATAAAATAGAGAAGACTTCGGTTCGTGTATCTGGAAACGAAGGTACCGCAGATAATAGAGAAACAGCGCATTCATTACGGTCGATGGTTCGAAGTCGTCTAAGGGCAGTCAAACCTATCATCTCACCCGCATTGTGGCAAACTGGAATCAGGTTTTCTGAGAGAAGCTTCGCAAAATTCACAAAGACCTTTAAGTCTTGTGCTGAGTACCTGGGAATGTTCCAGCAGTACTTTGCTATGATAAAATCTTCATGTTTCAACCAAAAATCACGCGGAAATCGCAAGAAACAGAGAGGTTCTGGGATTCGCGTAATGTGTAAAGATGAGATATAAAGACTACCGAACGTAGGAGAAACTCATTGTTATTCAGAGCTATATTTCAGATATTATCCTGAACGAGTGATGTTCTTGTTTTTGATAAACAGAGAAATACATATACAGTACATATTTACGTGTATATAAATATGTATATATATGTGTATGTAGGTTACAAGGGCTCGTGTGGCGCAGTAGTCGGAGGAATGCAACACACGTGGAATCGATCCTCACGCCCATAGCCCACCACGGCTTTCATATCTTCGGGGTCGACAAATTGGTACCAGACTTGTCTGGGAGGATAGTAGCACTGGCTCGATACATCGGTAGGACACGGAGATTCATTGTAAAGGCCAGATATGCATTAAATCTTCTCTAAACTATGCTTAATAATGTCGAATGCATGGTGCATCCTTCAGGGATTGATCAATGTCGAGAGCTTTATCCTTTATCTTTCTTTATGTAGGTGACATGTGACATATAATAGGTGTAATTAAAAATTTGTAGTAACATATGATTGTAATGTATTTAGTTGTAGTTATTTAAATACGTAATTCTGTTAATACTGAAGTTATGAAATCTTAGTTATATATACGCATACATATAGGAGTAGCGCAGTGGTTAATGATGTCGTCGACCAAGTAGCAGAGGCGCTAGTTCGAGTCCCACCCTAACGCTGGCCTGTGATCCACATCGGAACGCCGAAGCCCATCTACATCCACGATTACAAGCAGAATGGACTCGACCAGTATTCTACGTTATTTACAAAAGAGATGAAATCCTCAAGGTGCAGCTGGAACCGGAAAGTGTTTGAAGATCCTTGTGGACGATGAATGCGTGGAAAACGAATCGATTGCGTTCTGGGATCCTCACAGATGTTGATGATGAGTTGTGTTAAAAAGCACATATAATCTGTGATTGCAAACTACATCAATAACATACCTTTCACACTGTTACCGTTCACCATGTCAACAATTTTGCCATCCGTTTTTGTCTCCACAAAGTTATTGATGATCTAAAAAAGCCTTGGAAGATGAAAAGAAGTTAAAGTGAAGTACCGCAGAACGTTTTATTCATGTAATTATCAATGTTAGTCCTTATTTAAGTTTAATTCATTGTATAGAACGATAGCAACGGGGAATACATCTCATCATCTCTAGATCAGTGAGATCATTCAGCACCTAATTGCTTAGCGTTTTCACCGTGCTGGAGCTGTTGGCTAGTCGAGCACTGCCACCAGCTTCTGAGTCATGAGAGTTACATGTCGATTTTAGAGAACAAAGAAACAAAGAAAGCGACTAAGTTCACTGGAGTAGGACTGAGTATCGCATTTAAGCAGCATTTTCTTGGCGATTGAATGTGTCTGACCTTAGCTGCTCGGTGAGGTGACTGAAAATCACAGGCTTCCACTTTTGCGTTGTAGTTCTTCTCGATGAGTTCTCGATACTCGTTTATGATTGTGAAATGTTTGCTGAAATGATTTTTTTATTCTCTATATGCTCGTCTTCTTCCATAAATTTGTGGGTGTCTGCTTACTCATCTCCTCCACACGGTTTTTTGGTCATAGACAGATAAATACGGGTCTCACCACAACTCACCTTCTTCGATTTACTCCTACAGTAATATCGATTTTTACTGGTACCCTCCCGATAGCTAACAGCTTCGTCATGTTCTTCAGTGCTCAAATGTAATGTAAGGCGTTGGGTTAATGCTCTCATTTGCAGCTTATTCTCCCTTTAGTAGAATAAATTCGACAAGTCTCATCGTAAGGCGAACTGAGTGTAAGCCACCGTCAAAAAACTCTGTGATCTTGATACTGGCCCCACTAAGAAAATTTTGCCAAACTAACGAAGAAAATCCACTAAAGCACCTAGGTTTCTTCGATGATGGTAGAAGATTCAAATAACCAAATATCGCGAGAACATACTCCATAAAGAATCCGTTTGCTATCATGCTCTGAACTCCATGTCTAGCTTCCGAAATATTCATCGCTAACTTTGAATAATGGTGGTGGATCTCCAAATCGGATGCTCCTTAATGTCTTTTCATTCATGACAATGTAAAGAGCTATGCCATGTAGAATACACCAATTCGATTGACAGAATATCGACTAAAACCGTGAAGGAAAACCCTATTTTTGCATGAAATCTGCCTTTTTGGGCGTTTTTTACCTTTACATAGAACACTGTTTAGTTGAGCTTTCGTTTTACAATTAGCACCGGCTTGAATTACTGTTAGGGCGAAGATTATGGAAGCTGGTGAAAGAACCAACGACTCGTTTATCGCGGCCCAACGAAGCAAATTCAGTCCGAAGTCCATTTGAGACGCCAAAAACACACTAAAATTGAATACCTAATGAACATCTACAAAATTCCACTCTGCAAAAATATACGTTTAGCTAAATTTTTTATTACTACAAGTATAAATCAAGTGGATGATAAACCTAATAGTGCATATTTCAGTTTAAATCGCCTACTTTGAGTAATAGTAGTTGGGAGTACGACAACCCTGTAGTCCAGTCGAAAGGACGTGCAACGTGTTCTCCAGGTCATTGCTAGTAGAACCTCCCACTTCAATGCCTTAGCAAGAAGGCACGCGTGTTCATCAAAAATCGAGATGGTTACTGTCATATGATAGCTTTGAAGAAAAAATGGATAGGAACGCTTTTACGATATCTAGCTCCTCATCATTTTCATCTCTACGATATCATAACAGACATGAAGCTTGACTTTCGCATCCTACCGTCATCTTCACGGCAAAATTTAACCCATGGCAAAAAAGACAAGAAGTAGAAAGCTTTACACGCAAATCTTAATCGTAGGCAATTCCACGTAATAAAATGGGGCAAATTAACTTCTCATCGATTATAATTTTGACCTTGCTTTCAAATGTCAGACATACCTAGCAGTACACACATGATCATTGTTCTAATCTCGTCCCTGCCTAACTACGGTACTTACGGCTCCTGGGTCCACAAATTAGTGCCAGACTTATCTTAAGAAAGTCCCATACTATAAACGCTGTTGCAGAGCTGTCTCAACATCCCTGGGAGAATCAATTCGACAAAGATTCAAGAACACCCATAAAGACAAAAGCAACAGTTTAACTCATGCGGAAGTCCAAATCTCTTCCGTGAACTCGAAAGACCGACTTTCTATGAACCTCGGCATAGATAGTTGATACATTTATTTATATGATCTTATAAACTGATCTTCTTAAGCTGACGCGAGGTTGGTACAGATCTTCGTTGTCGTTGTCGTTGTCGTTGTTTTTGTGCGGGACATAACATCACGGCTCTGAGGAAGGCGAAGTCGCCGAAACGTCAGCCATCGTTCAATAACATCAAAAACAACGACAACGACAACGACAACGAAGATCTGTACCAACCTCGCGTCAGCTTAAGAAGATCAGTTTATAAGATCATATAAATAAATGTATCTTTCGTGAACCTCGAATGCGAGACAACGAAAGAAATAAAAATTTGCCGGGACACAAAGTGTAAACATGGAGTATATAGAAAAGTGAGCAGTGATCGTATTAAATTCAAGAGATACATTACTTTTCACTGATCGACATGTCGTAGGATGTTGTTGCCTTCCAAATGAAATATTATCGTTCTTGAGTTATCCAATATCACTCCGAGCAGCTTCACTGAAGATGAAAAAGGCTTAGTTTCACTCGAGATTTAGAAGAGAAAACGGAAAACAACACGACGTAACGGGTTACATGGTTAGTGCACAGTTTAAATGTCAAAAATTCGTACAAATTACTCTTCAACAATGAGAATATCGATGAGGAAGGATTCAATTTCTTCTTACCTTTTCAACTACTCAGTTCCTTCTTGAAATCTCTTACTAACAGCACTTCCTTGAACTAGGTTTCTTGGAAATTAATGTCGGATTTCAACCCCTATTTTTGTAGGAGCAAATCTCAGCACACAATCAATTTCACTAGTTTGAATAAAAGCTATTGAAATTTACACCTTTCCACCAGCGAAAACGAAGCTCACATCAGTTGCGAAATTTTTTGGCTTTTGGGGGCGATGAGGACATTGAACGCTGTATTGGTCTCGGTTTAGTTGCTGAAGCATTTCTCGTAAAGGAAGTTATCAAGATTCTTGAGAAAGTGCTAGTTGATAGGGTAGAGGTCAGACGAGTATGAATCCTGAGGAGAACTCTCATAGCCCAGTTCATTCAATTTCTGCAGTGTCGGTAGAGCGACATGTGGCGGCACGTCATTGTGGGAAGAATTGGTGCCTTTATGTTGAGCAACGACGCGGCGAACAGCCATTGAAGTTTCTTGTGCATTTTGGTGAAATACTGGACCTAGTTTTCTGCAGTAATCGCTTCATCGGAATTCATAACCCTGTGATGGAACAAGCTGTAGAGCGTCACACTCGGTATAACCTTGTTTTAGTGCAGTTTCGGTTTCGAGGAGTATTGTGGAACTTCATCGCGTTCCAACCACTGTTTTCGTTGGTTGCCGCCGTTAATCCATTTCTCATTGCATGTCACAACATTGGTGAAAAACGATCGTTCTGGTTGTGCAGAAGAAGCGACAACGGCGCCTCAAAACGGCGATTTGTTCGATTCAGAAAAAACTGACTTTCACTAAACCTCAGTAATATTAACCAATAATTTTTCCACACGTTCGAGCTGACGCGATGCTGGTACAAAACTTTTATTCGGCTAACATTTCGGTGTCTAAGCTTCCATCGGAGCCTCCAAATCGAATCCAAAAGAGATAGTGCCGCTCGAATGGGGCACTTCCCACGACGGTGCCCTTTTATACAGCACTCTATGCGACAGTGAATAACTACGTCGCCACAGCGGCAACCTGTGAACCACGAACTCGTATCAATACGGGTCTGAAGAAAGCAAAGGCGCCGAGTAAAAGTTATACCAATATCGAGTCACTTCAATCAATCTGAAAATTGTTAATTTTTTGACTGTCACTGAATCTGGGTGACATCAATTTTTCGAGTTTCTTATACTTCTCAGTCATCTTTAGACGTTTAAGACGTTAAGGTGCTTACAATGAGTTTTTCTGTGGGCTCCCGAGAGGTTTTGTTTGCATTTTATTCTACCAAACCCTATAATTCATCGTCGTTGATAGCGTGAGGACTACGGCGACGTTTTCCACTTTGAGGTTCGATTTCACTACGATGAAATTTTCTAAACTAACGGTGTTTCAACCCATTCGACTGAGTCCTGTCCGAGCTATATTTCGTTGAGTTATATCTGTAGAAATTGCCGCTTTGTAGAAAATAAAACTCTTATTTTAATTTGCTTATATGTAACGAAATTGTATAAAATGAGATCTGCAATAATATGTGTTAATTCAGCATTTGAAAAAAAAACTTTTACTAGCCCGTAAAAGGATAAGAAAGGACAGAGCTCTCGGCGTAGCTCAATCCCTGAGGTATGCGCCATGCATCCGACTTCATTAAGTATTGTTGGAGGTGATTGAATTCATATCTGGCCTTTACTCGCTGTGACCTACCGATGGATCGAGCCAGTATTGCTATCCTCCGAGAAAAGTCTGGTACCGATTTGCCGACCCTGGAAACGTGGAAGGCTTCGTGAGCCTCGGGCGAGGAGATCGATCCCATGCGTGTTGCGGAGCCTCCGGCCACTGTGCCACTCGCACCACTTTACTAGACCATATGCAATCATAAATCCGGTATTTTTTTAACTTTATCCTATATGACTTCTCTTCACGTCTACTGTGTGAATCCCAACACTTCTCACATTCGATTCGTTTCGTCACATCCATCACCCATGAAGATCTAACTTTTACGTGCCGCTTCGGCTGCTGCTTGACGATTTTTATTTCATACTCAGTGTCGTAGAATGCTAGTCGAGTGGATTCTCCCTGGAGTGCTGAGATAGCCGAACTGGAGCGTTTCCAATTAGATTGCACAAAACTATTATTCCTAGACAAGTCCGTTACCAATTTCGCGACCCGGAATGGGTGAGAAGCTCGGTATGCCTGGGGCAGGATCGAACCAGCCCCGCGCTCGTGATGATCGGCCTCACAACCACTGTGCTATCCGTTCTTTTAATTCGGCATTAATTTTCGAAAAGTCTAATATTTAGTTTACCCAACAAATCTGTTGACAACTTGAGCATGATTATTAAGTGTTCAAAAAAAATTACAGATATAACGATTAAGTTTGCTTGGAATATACAATGGTGTCGAGTAGAAGGAGTTTACTGCTTTACTTAGAATATGAACAGGATTAATTGTTCTATGACGTTAGAGCAAGCTGATGTGCGTAACTAGACACAACATCTTTTTTAGTGCAACATTATTTCTTTCCCATTCACATGACCATCTACAATAATAGAACGCTTAGAAAACTGAATAGAACACTGAACTCAAACGACTTAGTCGAAATGTGGTGAAATATTTATCACGTAGCTACATGCTAATACTGTTCATTACACAGATGGTCCAACGTATCCATGCTCCGGTTGTGCCCCGCACAAAGTCCACAAAATCTCTCATCCATCCTTGGTTGGGAAAGTGCCACCCATACTTGCACAGCAACAGTTCACATCCCCCGGTTCACGTAGGAGAGCTGAAGAGAGTGATTGCATGAGTTCGTTAAGGGGTTATCAGATCTCTTGTAAAGCATGAGGGGACCATTATATAGAGGAAAAGGGTGGACTACTGCGCATCAGCATAAAAAAACACCGAGTTAGTAACTTTGATGTTACACCAAATACCCCACTAGGGGCGCATAGGAAACAGAGACATAACGGAAAGTCACTGTTCTAGCAGGGAAATCCAAAACATCAGCGCGTAAAACTTTTAAACCGTCCTGGATAAATTCCAAAAATCCAAAAATGAACCGCGAAGAGAATTGCTTTGTTATCACTTTCGACGTTGGGCCATTCCGCAGACTCCTTCCTTCCTTCCTTCCTAGTTTTTTGACGTGAGCCAAGCACATTCCTCACCCATGTAAGACTGTGTGATAGTCTTCATCAAAAACTGGATGATATACAAAGAGCAAAACGGTGAATGTTTAAAAGAAGATGCTTGTTATGCAAATTACACTACTAGTTTTATCTTCTGAGGTTATGAAAGTGTTCAGCTTAGTAGATTGCGTGTCAATTTGACCATTCCAAGATCTGAAAAAAAGCGAACCCCGCACAAAATGAGTAAATGCCGTAATAACAACCTCACTTTTGCTCATCGAGAAAACAATGGATTATACATCCACTTCATAAATTAGATTGGCGACACTGCTAGGAAGGCCAAAAGTTTAGTAAAGCTACGATATGTCGGAGAGACCACGAATCTCACTCATATAAGGGATCTCGAGCCGGTTAGTCGCGAGGCTACGTAGCGCGTCCACAGGTGGCGGATAGGGACCAAAAGCGACTTTGCTTCCCTGAGGCACAGGTGGATACAGGGGATGGACTCCCTGTTTCTGCTGCGCCTATTTGGCAAATACTGTCTGTATTTGGTAGGCGTATTCATGCATGCGTGTGTGGGTGCGTTCTTGCTTATGCGGATTCCATTCTATAGGTCAAATCGGCCAAAAGCCTGCAATCAAGTGACAGAGAAGTATATGGGAGGCGGTTAGGAGTCGCCTCTAACAAATTAGCCCCATGTCTACTCT